GACTTGTAACAAAGAGAACTTTTTTCCTATAAATAATATAAAAAAGTTATATCTGAAACACATAGTCACTCTTTGAGTTAAAATATAAATCCAGATAGACCAAAGACAACATGAAACATAAAGCACCCTCCTCTAATGCATTAAGCAAGTGGAGTTTTTTTCTAAGACAGAAGAGTGATACCAAGGTGTTCACTCCATCTCCTGCACGTAGCTGTTAAGTTTTACATCTCTTTGAAGACTATACCTAAAAATACTGATTCTATGAATATTTTAATTTATTCTTTACCTCAAAAGAGTAACTTTTAACTGTTAAAAAAATAATAACTGCTGTTAACTTTTATCATTATAATTGCTATCTATTTGCTATAATGTCCACTTTTCTAGAGCCATATTTTTTATAGAGCAAATTCTTAACAGGAGAAATGAATAATTAAACGTTACTCCAATTCCAGAGATGCTTTGTGTCCAGAGGAAAAAAAATGTGTGCTCTAAGAGAAAAAAAAATTGGTTGCTTTGTATTGTGTCTTGCTTAGTGGTGTTAGAATGATGGAATCCAAGTAAGAATTTCATTCTCCTATTCCTGAATACACTCCTTCAGAATAACCATAAAATACTTCTATGAAGGTGTTGAAGACAGAAAATTCATATGGCTTCCATGGAGGTCTGATGTTTTTGTTGAAGAGAAATCCATTGAAAATTACCAAGTGTAAAGATTTCTAGACCAAAGTGTTTCGAGCTGATAACTGTTGAAGGCTTGGAGAGGATGAGAAAGAAGCATGATATGTGTTTGCTCTGTTCCTTCTCCTCTGTAGGCATCTGCTTGGGAGCACTACTGGAGACAGGATTTGGGACCAGATGGAAACAGCCACAGCCACTCCCTCCTCTTTCCTACCCTTCATATTTCTGAAGCAAGGACTCTAGAAATCCTTAACTAAACCAGCAGCAGGTCTAATCTTGTGTATTTAATGAGGCAAGAGTCCAGTTTGGAGAAAAAAATAGGTTGCAATCATATAATTAAAAATGGAATGTTATATGCAAGGAAGAAGTATTAGAATCATGCAGGCTATCTCAGTACCTCTAATTTGAATTCAAGGTTTTGCACCTGTAATACTTTGTTTGAATGTGGATCCTGATGATTCATCTTTTAGGCTTGTGTGAGTCAACTGGAGAAGAAAATAATTCCATGTGGACATCACACAAGTGCTGGGCAACCAAATAGAAAGCAAACTGGCTTTTCAGTTGGGTGGGTATCTAGAAACCCTGTGTAGTGGATTTTAATGAATTATTTCTGCATGGACTTGGGAAGAGAAGCAGCAGGCACACAAATGGCAGGCAGCATTGTATGGTGTGAGCTGCACACAAGCTCGCACTGACTTTCTGCTTTCCCTTGACCTGCTACCATCTGAAAGTACCTTCTGCTGGCCAGTACCACCACTGTGACATCTGCTCATAAAAACCAGTGTGTGGATCACACTCTCCCTGAGACATGGCACAGCAGGAGGACTTGAGGAGTCTCTCTGAGGTGCATGGGGAGTCAGACAATGTATCTAGGGTTTTTGGAGGACCCTGCAAAGGAACTGTCCCTCTTACCGTCACTCCACAGAGTAGCCTGAGTCATTTTACCAGGGGATGCCGAGGACTTGTGGATTGTTCTCGTGCTGGGAAAGGGAGGTTTGTTGTTTGCAGCAACCAGTACAACTGGGAAGCATTTCAGCTTCCCTTAGAGGATTTCCCAGGGTATCCTCCAGGCTAGAAGTAAACTGGGCAGTATCGTGTTCCTCACCTCTCTGCCCTTGTTGTCACGAGGACTGTTCACAAAGTCCATAACTCACAAAGTCTGTGAGTTATAGAGGAAAGCTGCTGCATAAACTCATCACATCATTTTGGGCCTGAAACAGTAGCCTGACCCATATCATCCTCTCCACCCAGGGAGTAGCTACAAGAGAAAAACTCTTCTGTGTCGAGGAAAGTGACCTCTCCTTGTATTTCTTAGTCACACTTTTACATCCCACAACATTAATTAGTATCAAGTTGATCAGAAGCCTAGTAAAGAGCATTTTAACAAAGCAAGCTCTATACTGGACATTATTTTCCTGAATAATTCCTTGTCTTGACAGCACAGCAAAATTACCTCCTTATTGCCCCAGAGATAACCAAGAGATAGTTGCTGTTCTGGAGTGCCTGTAGTGCAAATGTGAAAGCACAACACTGGAGGCAAAATAATACAACTCTCATTTTATAGGTAGGAAAGAAAAAGAATGGCACAGAAAAATTAGATGCCAATACTGCATTAAAATAGAACCCACATCTCGAAACTCTATAGCTAGTACTTGACCTGCAAGACAGCCTTTCCTGTTCTGCACCACTAAAGAGTGCCTAAAACATCTGATCTGCACAGTGGTATTTCAGTCTCTTCCACAGCTGCAAATAATTTTTAAATATGCAAGCTGGTGGAGAATCACATCCTTGTTGTGCAACATTGTCACATTTTCCCTGTCTTGGGGTTTTGGGTTTTTTTAATCATGGAATCATGTGTGTATTAGTTCCCCTTGTACTGCAGCCTGTCTGCACAGAGAACAGTCACCAGGTGCTATGATAAAGAAGGAACATCCTAAGTTATTTTTATCTATCCACTGGGAAATATTAATAATCTTTCAACTGTTAGATATTCATTCTTGTTTGTCCTTCTGGATGTTCATCTCATGCTGAGTGTTAATTTTGTTGCTCTGTGAACTGATCTATGGACCATTGTCCAAAATCTGAAACATTTGGAAGCATGGCAGGTGAAAAGGGGTAAGAAGCTAAAAGTCCTAGAGCACCTCTTCAGCTCACAAGCATCCCGATTGCCCCGCTGCATGTTATTGCCTCTGCAGATCTACTGCCCTGGCTGCATGCATGGTGATCCTTAACCCAGCCTGTTGTTAATAATCTGGATATGTTTAAGCACTGTAAATCATATGCCTTACCTCACCTGAATCACTCTGAGAGAACTGGGTTACATGCGTGGTTACAGCAGAAGCATGTGTTGAAGGTGCTTCCTACAATGTTGCCCCTCTCTCTGGTTCTCTGTGTGATTATTGTAAAGGGTTTTGAGGTAGACAACAGCTTTAAAGGCAAGTCTGGGGTTGTTTTGGTGGGGGCTAGATCTACGCTAGTATTTAAGTTTATAGCATTCATCAGGGTTGACAAATTGCCCAACAGTCCCCCAGCCCTCAGCAGCTGTGTGCACACACATGACACAGGTATGTGCACATCATACTCACTTTTCCCCCTGGCCCTCCCTCACAAGGTCTCCCTCACAAGGTGTCCACAGACCTCCTTGCCCTCTCCTGCACTCCCCATCGATGATGGGGTGCAGCTCAGCTCATGTGTCATTGCAGCAGCACAGAAGATCTGTGTCCAAAGAGAGAAGCAGATTCCACTCATCTACTGCCAAAACCAGTAGAGGTGACAAGCCTGGGACTGCAGTTTCAAAGACAAAAACTGGGTCAGGGAAGGGGCTGTCATAGATAAAGGTTTTGATGGAGTGAGGGACTCAGGAAGATGTAGGAGTAACCTCTTCCTTCTCCCGAGTCTTCTACAATGACACATTGAAACACTTTAATGTAAGGAGGAAGGGGCACGTGTAGAAGGAGCATTTATCGTTCTGAGATCTCTTTTGAATTCCCATCCAATCCTCTGTCTAAACCTACAATCTTTCTTATTCCAGGACTGGCAATCTTTCAACAAAGGAGGGGTGGGTTGTATTTTTCTTTCCCCAGTTAGCTATTAAGTGTGCCAATGGAAACTTGGCGGGAAGCTGAAGATGCTGCTTTTGCTTGTGGAGGGAGGTCTCAGTTCCTGCTGAATTTGGAGCTCCATGGGGGCCAGAAGCAAATGTGTGTCTCTTTGGAAGCGCCACAGTGCTCTGACTGACAAAATCTGCCATATTCTGTGTGATCAAGCTCATCTGACTCCATCATATCTTTCCTACTGCCCACTGCACTCTGCAGCTTAGCTGTAGTTGGGCAAGTGACCCTGGGAAGTAAACTCCACAAAATACCAGCTCCAGTACCCTGGCATACAACAAAGGGAGGCAGGCAGCTGGAAAAGTGTGGCTGGTGTGTAGCTCCAGTCATCCAGTATGAGGCACCTTTCCTTTTTCTGTTTTTCCAAAATTTGTTGTTATAAAACAGAGAGGCCACACAGAGGATATATATTCTCCAAAGAAGAGATAAATACTAAGTATATGGCTGGGACAGCAAAGGTTGGGACTGACTTTCTCATAGACTCCTTGAATATCTAAACCTACAGGAATGCTGAAATTTTGGGGATAAGTCTGCCCCACCCTTCATAATTAGGGCAAAAGCCCTCTGTGAGTTGGCAACATCCCTGTGTTGCCAGATACTCCTATGTGTCAAGTACTGAATTATCCAAGGACCCAGAGACATCTCGGTGTCAGTGGAAATTATGCAACATATACTTTGAAAACAAATTCTGAAGTTTAACAACAGATTAATTAGGCCATTTAACACATACTTGAATGTCTTGCTAGATCAAAGTTACACCCTATGTGCTTGGCTATGTTTGGGGACTTACTGTCATACGTGGACTTCTTCCTCTGTTTCCCCCAGGGAGCAGCTCTTTTGCGCACTTAAACAAGCTAGAAACAGTTGAAATTAAATCCCAGTGTGTAACATGAATCCAGTGTTTTGTGGGTTTGACTTTTAAAAATGTGAACGCACACAGGCCCTGATGACTTCAATAGCATTTATCGGTGCTTTTATAAATGTCACACTATTTATAACACATTTCTGTGTCCTTTTTTTATATTCTCTGTTGGCCTATCTGTTTTTCACTGTGATATCTTTGATTGGTATAGTCACATCAAGATGTAGCATGTTTTTGAATAATTAAGAAAATACAAATTTGAAAAAAAAACAAAAACAAATAAAAGTTATCTTTATTCTAGTCCATGTTTTTCCATTGCTCAACCATTAAAGATTAACCATGCCATTTCACCTTTGCTTTTTACATCCTATGAAAAATACTTTTAGTTTTGCAGTGCTTTATTAAATGTTCCACATCCAATTATTTGTCCCTAGAGTTTCCCCCCTAAGCTTTAGAAAATTGTTTCGGCTATATCCAAACTCATGCCAACTTCCTGGCTTCTTGGCCGCAAGCCATCAGTGAGAGCTCTGCTAAGAACCACTTTGAGGCTCTCCTTGAACCTCTTCTTCTTGCTGCTTCCTACAAAGAAGTAAACCAGGGGATTGATGCTGCTGTTAACGGTGGAGAGAACAATGGTGACGTGGTTCTGCTGGCTGAGCAAAGATGACCAGTGGTGGTAATTCAGAAGATACAACAGCCTCATAGGCATGGCAAAGATGAGGAAGACAATGACTGTGGCCACAATGATGATGTAGAGCTTTGACGAATGAGGTCGCAGGGAGTTACGGCGAATCCTGATAACCAAGATCAGGCTGGACAGAATCATTAGAGGAATGAAGATCATGAAAGTCAGGATCCATGTGAAGATGAGCAGTGCTTGGCAATGGTTGCCATCGTCGAATTGTTCCTTGGTTGAATCATCCTTGCACGTTAAATATTCGGCTACTGTCATGAAAAAAGACAGAGTCCACAGAATGGCACACACAATTGCCGATTGGTGCTGTGACCGGTGGCAGCGGTACCAGATGGGGTAAACAATAGACAGACACCTCTCAATACTGATGGCTGTCAGGAGATAGAGACCAGTATTATAGCCAAGAAGGAAGACAATAGATAGTGTGGTGGTTACATAATAGTAAAAACCATATGCGAATCCAAAACCAGCAATGTACTCAATTGACAGAATAAATGTACAAAGCAGTAAGGAGATATCAGCAATGGACAAGTGTGTGATGTACGCAGTGAATGGGTTTCTTTTGATCTGGAAGCAGAGGCACCAGAGGACAATTCCATTTTCACAAAAACCCAGGAAGGAGATGATCATAATTACCCAAAGTGGGGTCAAAATCTCCCAGACCCTTTCCTGTGTAGAAATGTTTCTGTGCATTGAGATGTTCTCTGTGCCTTCGCTGGGATGAAACGTTATGTTTGACTCATCCATGGGGAAAGCTCAAGTTTGGATAGCACAGCTCTTCCTTCTGTAAATATGTATAAAAATATACTGTGAGCATTGTGTGCTCCTCCCCTCCCCCTTTTCCTTCTGTTTTGTGGACCCTCAACTTCTGGCCATACATGAAGGCCTTGAAAAAAGGCACACCAGCTTTGATATACTGATGCTAGCTAAAACCCATTTGGAACTGCTCTTGGCAATGTTAAAGATTACTAAGCCCATCGTACTAGCAGAAATCCTGAGCTGCCTTCTTCAAGGGGCTCAGCCTGTCAGTGCTAAACCACAGCTAAAGAGATTCTCTTAAAGAGCTCTTGGACAAGCAATGTCCCCATCACATTGCACAATTTCATTGTATAGTCCTGACAAATGGCATTGGTAGCTCTTGTTAGAGCCCTAGATTGTTCCCAGAAAGGTCTCTTTAGTTCCTATTGAAGTTAATGGCATTAATTTTAAGTTAAACTCATGCATTTCAAGTGAACTTGGCTCATAGGCTTTTTGGTTTAAAAAAAAAAAAAAACATTGATACCAACATGTTTTCCAGAAAGGGATTTAATTAAGTAAAAATAATTTGTAGTTATTCAGCATTTTATTTCCTCCAAGTACAGAGGTGGAGGGAAGGCAAAATGGCACTGTTTGGAGAGAGCAATTTCTTACCTGCTTTAAGTGCCATTTATCACAGCATAACATAATTTAAACATGTTCACACACTCTGAACACTTAACATGACTGTAGGTGTCTTGAAAACATTATAAATCTAACCCATAACAAGGAGAAGCTGTTTGTCACATCATGTTCATCATCATCATCACCACAATCTGTTCAGGCTCCCTGCCATTGTTATAATGGTTTTAACTGTTGTTTTGCTGAGCTATGGGGTAACCTCTCCTTTTGTATGTCTCCTTTTATCTCATAACAAAGCGTTGGTAGCACTGGCTTCTGCTGATTTTCATACAAATATTTCATACCCCATGCTCTGTTAACTTCCCAGCTGCCCTGTGATGATACACAGTCACATTCAGGACACTTTTGGATTTACTGATGTTAACAGGGACTAACTGTTGACAATAAGCTTACCTAGCTGACTTGGTTCATCCATATAAGTTACCTTGTTCATTAACGTAACATAATGAGAATTTACCCAGACCGTCAAGTAGTTAAGAACATCAAATGCAAGGTCAAGAAGTTTTACTGGAGCAGTCATTATTTAAAGAAAGCCATTCACCCCAGTCATAGTTTTTCTCTCATGAGCCTTGCATTTCCTGGTATTAAAACAGCTCCTTTGGAAAAGGATATCACAGTCTAAGAATGAGCATTCTGTAAACAACCTGGGAAGCCTGAGGCCTTGTTGGCATTTAAACCTGTGCAGAAACATTAATGGTGATCCCATCTGTATGCTGACCATACAACCACCTGAGACAGTTGAAGGCAACATAGCTGGAGAAGTGGTAGGGGAGAGTGAATTCAACAAGTAAATGCAGTGACCAGAATGAGTGGCAAGCCTCCCAAAAGCAGTGCTCTGCAAAAACTGCAGAGGAAAGGTGCTCAAACAGTGTGCTGCTGGAAGTACAGTAAAGGTTCACAGAAAAAAAGGAGAGGAGAAGCTATCTTCTGCAAGAGTTAAAACAAATAGGAAAGGGAAAAGAGAAATAAAATACTCGGGTATGAAAAAGCGACAGAGTATGGAAATATCCAAGGAAGTTCTTGATTTCTATTACTGTAGGAAAGGAGTTTTCTCTCTGGAGAGTAAAACAAAGAGGAAAAAGTTCTCGACTTACTAAGGTCATTCCCACATGACAGCATTCAGAGATGAGGATGGAAAGAATCCTCTTCTTCCAGATACATCCATGGTTTGTCCAGATTTCCCTGAGGCTGTTGAAGAACTTCCTTGAAGAAGCTGAAGTTCACCTTCTCCAACCATTTGCCTTTGGTAAGAGGGGGAGCAAATAGTAACTCTGACCATGACTCAAAAAGAAGTGTGCAATCCTCCCATTGCTCCAAAAGTCTGAGGCATGCCAAATAAAGGGTCCCAGGCTCATCATCTGAGGCTGAGCTTCAAATGGCATCACTCAGTAGCTGGCAACTCATCTAGCTGAAAGCCTGGGATTTAACTCTTGTGGGAACTGAAGGGCAGTATATGGAAATTTGTCCTGAGCTGCTACAATACCAAGAGACCTAGTTTAAACAAACAAACATGAAGGGAGTAGAAAATCTATTTGGGGATGTTAAGATCCAAAGAAAAAAATCTCAATTTAGAACTGTGCCATCACATGCCATCTAAAAAAAAAGTCAATTCGCAAATTTGTTTCATATTTTTTGATACGAGAAAACAAGAAAGTGAGAAGGAAAAAGAGAAAGTGAAAAAAAGGAAAGGAAAGGAAAGGAAAGGAAAGGAAAGGAAAGGAAAGGAAAGGAAAGGAAAGGAAAGGAAAGGAAAGGATCACAGAGCAAAGAATATAGCCCATCATTATGTTAGTCTCATACATCCATTCCTCTAGGTAAAATCTATATCTTGAGATTATTCTAAAAAAACCCAACCAAACACAAAAATCTTTTAATGACATTTAAACAGTCTCCCCTGAAAAGTTCAAACAAAACTAGGAGCTTGAACAGTCTCCTGAGGATACCCCCTGGTTTTGCCCCAAGTATTAGGTTGTTTTTACATTCAGATATTAACAGAACAAACATTCTTAGCCAAATAAGGAGAAAGTTTGCTTGGTCTTCTCCTTTAAATGTTTCACTTAAACTACCAAATCCCCAAATGGGAAGAGCAACTAACTAATGTGAGAAATAAATGACCCCAAAGGGAGGGTCAGAATAAAGTTAGGAAGGGAACAGAGTGAAATAAAACAACTTCTAACTGGTTTTGTTGGCTTAAGTTGCAACCTACGTTGCATTCAACACCTATGGTACCAAAAATTTCAAGCTACCTCTGAAAAAGGAAAGAACCTGCTCCTTTCTCCAAAAAGGAAATATGCATACAAGTAATGAGAGAGTCATTACAGGAATATGTTAACATGTCGAGATTGACCAGGTACTTGTGTTTGCAGCCCACTGCAGTCCAAAGTTGGAAAAGCTTCCCAGTCTCCAAGAGGCAGGTGGTTTGTGAGACCTCCCTCAGGCACACAGCACCTCCCTCATGACTGATCCCTGCAGCACCATCAGTCACCATCCACACAGCCAGGGCACCAGAGTGAAACCTGGTCTTGGGAGAATGGGTCACAAATACACCTTATCCTTGGTGATTTTGAGAGTAAGAGGAAAGTCAAATAGCAGTCTTTAGATCAGATGCTGCCCAGAGTTGGAGCAACTATTTCTGAATCAGTTTAAGTATTCAGACATGACAAGGGGGCTACAGTAGCACAATGTGGAACTTGATCTGATTTTGGGACTAGAAATTAGTACTGACAGTAAAGACATGCTGGACAGTATGGAAACTCTTGTAATTTTGATCTAAACTGAATATACAGCAAGATGTCACATGAATGCTAATTTATCCTAAAATCTTTCTCTCTGACACTAACTTGGTGGGACAGATGCAGTGGATGTAAACTGAATCGACTAACATTTGAAAGTATACTGTATGTAGGAAGCTTTATCATTTTTCTTAGAGTCTTTGAATAATTTCATGTTCTCCCATCTCCAATTCCTGGAAGCAGAAGGCAACCTGTAAAGAACTTCCAATTCATTCATTAAACACAACCCAACAACCTAGGATTTATTAACCAGATTAGAGGGGTTTATGTAGTTGGTACAGGTGCCAGTGTATAAAAAAAGCCACTGGGTACCCAGGAGTCAGATCTCCCACTTTATACTTACATGAGCCATAACCAAAACCCCTCAGGGATGAGCTTTGCAGCACTTTCAGGAAGTGCAGTTTTTCTTGATGGTCATTCAGTCATTACCACTTTCCAGCTGAAATTCATTCCTTAATTATTCAGCTCTAACAAAGGTTAGGAGTTAGGATTATATTTCAGAGTGTAGAACACTGAAGATCTGGGTGCAAACCACTAACAGAGAGCTGAAGGACACACTGAGAAACAGGGGTTGTAAGAGGGCCAAAAACTAAACAGGGGGCTTTAGGGTGCAAACAGAGAACTATGGGACACACTGAAAGCAAGCTGGAGAGAGACTTTTTACGAGGGCATGTAATGATAGGACAAAGGGAAATGGCTTTGAACTGAAAGAGAGTGGGTTTACATCAGATATTAGGACAACATTCTTTACTGTGAGGGTGGTGAGGCACTGGAATGACTTTCCCAGAGAAGCTGTGGATGCCCCATGCCTGGAAGTGTTCCAGACTAGGTTGGCCAGGGCTCTGAGCAACCTGATCTACTGGAAGGTGTCCCTCCCCATGGCAGGGAGATGGGAACTGGATGATCTTTAAAGTCCCTTCCGACACAAACCATTCTGTGACTCTACAAAATGCCTGGATCCTAAGAGTTTTAGGACCCCTTAAGTCTCACAGAGACTGGAAGAATCATGATGACTTATGGATACTCCTCAGTAGGTGATGTGAGAGTGCCATTAAAGTAGGAGTTCGTTGTGGGGCAAACTTAAGAATTAAGGTTATCCTAACCCAAAATTCACCACAGAACTTGCTGGACATCTTTTATCCTAGTCATACCAGCCATGATCCTAGCATATACCAGTTCCCTATAGGGTGGTAACTGATGGATTGTGTTTGATAGGCCACAGGCATGAAAGCTGGCTTGAGTGTTGCTTTCTGCAAAACAAGGGGAAAATACATGTCACCAGCAAGCTTTGAAGCCAACACGGGTCATCTATTAATAGCTAAAAGTAAGGTTATGGTAGGAGTTTAAGTTCTAGAAAACACAGGACAAAGATGACTGAGTCCAGAAATTGGTGTAAGGCTGAAGACTCCTTGGTGGCTGCTCAGTTGCTGTAAGGCCAGTTGCAAAATCCTATTAGTGGCAATCACAGAATTGTGTTTTCATGAGAACAGTATGGAATAGCAGGCTCGAAATCAAGGA